TTTTCTAGACAGCGTTCTCTATGTTGCCCTAATTGTCCTGGAACTCTCTCTGCAAACCAGGCTGGCTTTCAACTTAGAGATATGACTACCTCTGCCTCCCAAGTGCTGAAACTAAAGTCAGCACCACAATTAAATAGGTTATTTTTTTAGTAAATAGGTTGTTTTAAAAGACACAAAGTAAGAAAGATAATGGAGAATGTATTGTGGGTGTGGAGAAAGCTGGAAGGAAGGGGTGGGAAAGGGTATGACCAACTTACACTATATACATGTATGAGTTTTTAAAAGAAAATAAAAACAATTAAGGGCTGGAGGGATAAATCAGCTGTTAAGAATGCTTGCCACTTTTCCAGAGGCCCCAAGATCAATTCCCAGCACCCATGTGGGGCGACTCACAACCATCTGTTACTCCAGTTCCAGTGGATCTGATGCCCTCTGCTGGCCTCTGCTGGCACCGCATGCATGTAGACATACAAACAGACATACATGCACACAGAACACTCATAAAGTAAAAGTAAACATTTTCAAACAAACAAACAAAAAATAACAGTAAAACCAGTGTTTCCCTGTGTCCTGTGAGCTATTATTCTAGCAAACTCTCACATCCAAACAGAGGAGGATCATGGAAAACACCACTATGTCTCCCATAACTCTGTAGTTGTCTGGAGTGTGCCAGAGGAGGCTGAAGAACTTGAGGTTGGTGTGGGGAGGGGATCACCAGGTGTCAGAAGTATTGGCAGTAGAGAGTGTAGTGGGCTTCCTTTGGGGCCACCAACTCCTAAGTTATGACATGGAGACTTGTTATTAGTAATGAATGCTAGGCCTTATCTTGGTTGTTGTTTTACTCTGTTTCTCTTTATCTACAGTTTGTCCAGGGCTTCTTACATTTCTTTCTGTATATCTTACCTTCCTGTTTCCTCCATGTCTGGCTGGCTGGCAGCTGCCTGGCCAGGGTATCTCCCCTCTTTCTTCCTCGTTCTCTCTTCTGTTCTCTTCTCCTATTTTCCTCCTCCCATGTATTCTCTCTGCCCACCAGCCCTGCCTATCCCTGCACTGCATAGCTATTAGCTGTTCAGCTTTGTAGTGAGACCAATCATGTGCCTTAGGCTGGCAAGGTAAAACAACTGCAACACAAACAAAAGCAACACATCTCTACATAGTTAAAGCGATTCCCACAACAGAAAGAATTTGCTTCTTCCTGCCTCTGAGCCTGTCTGGGACCTCCTGAGGTTGACTCTATTTTGAGCAGTATCCAGGCATTCCACTGAGCCACGACAGCCACAGAGAAGGGCCACACAGTTTGATGCCCACACAAGATCCTTCACATTCTGAGGAGAGCTGCCACCTGGAGGATGTGACCACCTCCTAAGACAGCAGCAGGGAGAGGGCTGTCAGTCTCAGAAGCAGGCATATGTGTGAGGTCAATAAAGAGGAAAAACCCTATTGATACCTTGGGTCCTGGGGTCAAGTCAAATCTAAAGCCAATTCGATCTCAAGTTTTAGTGCAACATTAGTCCATAATAAATATGTTCTCTTAATGTATTTATTAGTATGCTAATAAATTAACATATAACATATTAATTATAAATGTATTAATTATATGTTGTATAATTTATATCCTATATTGCATATTAATTATGTGATATAATATAATCTTATATTATATGTAAATAAGTATGTGCTCATTGTGAATATATTAATATATAGCATATAACAAAAAGACATACATTTAAATTGAGTGTCTTTTGTTTGTAGCTAATAAAATTGAACTATATAACAGCAGATATCTCCATTCTTCTAAGGACTTGTTGGATACAGTTACCCTGAGAAAGGATAAAGGGGAGAGATCACCTTGTATTTACCCCTGATTATTTCTATAACAAACCCCAGAGAGGCCACTGAAAATGTTTTAAATGGTGCAGGGGAGATGACTCGGTGGTTAAAACCGCTTGCTGGTCTTGTAGTGGACCCAGGTTCAGTTTCCAGGACCTGCATTGTACTGTTCACTGGCTTCTGTTACTTCAGTTCCCATAATCCAGCACCCTCTTCTGGCCTCTGTGGGTACTGCATATCAAATAGTGCACATACAGACAAGGAAGTATACACCTGTGCATATGCACTCACACATACAACAAATATGCACATAAATAAACCAATTTTTTAAAAAGGGAGAAAAAAACCTCTGGATCTTGAAGAGATGGTTCAGCAGTTAACAGCACCAGCACCAGTTGCTCTAACAGAGGACCTGGATTTGGTCACAATCATCCATAACTCCAGTTCCAAGGGATACCACACCCTCTTCTGGCTTCTGTGGGCACCAGGCAAAACACACATACACAAAAAATGAAATAAATACATCTAAAGAAATAGAAAAGAAAATCCTTTTCAAACAAAATGGTGCAGTGGATATATCCTGTGCACATCCTCACAGAGGATTTTAAAAAGAAATGGACACTCATAGCAATTTATATTTGACAAGGAAACTTCCAGGTCACCAAATTGGCTAAAGGCAATCAATCTCTATGCAACAAAAGAGTCAGAATCAGGTTTTAACTGGCATTTATTGAGTGATTATTATACGCCTTATGTGCTTGGTGTTTTTACATATGTCATTTAAGCGGCAAGTTATAATAGCTCTGGATTTGTTTGTATTTAATTATACAACTAGTGAGTACATAAATATTATAAAAATATACTGGTCAGTCAAATTAACAGAGGCAGCAGTTCAAAGTCACATAACAGGCTAATCTGGAGAGCGTTACTGATGAGTCAGAGATAACAGACATACATGGCTCTCTAGTCTACAAAGAGCAGATGTTCATCCTAACTCTCCATGTAACAGTTATAATGACTGGACATGTCCTTGAACATAGCTGAAGCTTTGAAAAATGTTTTGGGAGCAAATATATTATAGGTTACATTAGCAAAGCATAAAAATTAGACAACTCCTTTTCCTTTGGTGTGGGGGGATGGGTGAGTGTGGGAGGGTGGGTGGGTGTGGGAGGGTTGATAGCACACATCTGAGTGTGTAGGTGCTCAGCCACTCATGTGCTTGTGGAAACCACGGCAGGACATGGGTTGTCTTCCTCCTTTGCTTTCCACCTATTGCCTTGAGCAGAGTCCTCACCAAACTAGAAGCTTGGGCTTTCGGCTAAGCTGGTGAGCCAGTGAGCTCTGGCCACTGTCTCCACCCAACACCACGTCCCAATGCTGAGATTACAGCACAGTCAGCCTTGCATTGTGCGAATCCTGGGGATTCAAACTCAGATCCCCGTGTTTGCAGAGCAAGCTCTCTTACCCACTGAACCATTTCCCTAGCCACACCCAGTCTGGCAAAAGCGTTTCTGAACAAAAAAGTAAGCTAAACCACTGAACTTCCAAGCATTTAGTAGGAGTGCTACAAAAAAGTCACAACAAGCAAAGATGTCGATTATATAATATCAAGACATGGACAAGGTTATACCCAGAAGAACATTTCTATTATTAAATATGTTATTATTGCAAATACAGAAAGAATTTAAATTAAGTATTCAGCATAAAATGTGACACAGGAAATAAAAGTAGTCAAACCTAAGCACAATATATATTTTATAATTTAATATAGTAAAAAAATAAATAACAAATAAAAGAAATAGTGGATATAAATAAAGCCAAACATTAGATCCTTGAAAAAAAACATTAATAAGGACCAGATAAGTGTTTGGTAAAGCTAAATATCAAGCAGACCACAAACAAGTTGAAAGGAGAACAGTGATAAGGAAAAAATGCAAAGAATCTGTTCAATTACAAAAATAGCGCTCATAATTAAGTTCATAATCTCAAGAGGTCTATGGAATGAAGAACTCTCTAGAGGATAAAAGACTATTATAAATCATCAAAATAAATCCAAGAAGATTTTTTTAAAATTCACAAGCTAATGATATAGAATTATCACAGTAACGACTGATAAATGAGTTCCAACTCAAACTCTGTCCAAACATTGCCTGAGATTCCCCCTCACAAATCACAAATCTCAGAACTGATTACTGCTGAATTCTTTAAAAAAAAACAATTTAAAAGATTTATTTTTTAATTATATGTGCATGGGGGGATATGAGTGGGTTATGTACATGAGTGTCATGTCCCCAGAGGCCAGAAGAGGGAGCCTGACAGTTGTGAGAGGAAAAGAATTGCAAGAGTGATGAGCACTCTCCACCACTGAGCCATCTCTCCAGTCACAGTAAATTCTTTTAATCTATCAAGAACCTGATGTTTCTCAAGCTACAGAAATTATTTGAAAGCATTAAAAAGTGTAAAAACTTACTCAGACCTTTCAATGATGCAAGCTTAAGTCATAAGACCAAAACTTCACAAAATAGCACCAACTGAAGACATCAAGATAGAGGCAAGAATCCTAACACAAAATTTCAAGAAAAAGAAGGTGGTATGTGGAAAGAAAGTACATCCTGAAGATGCTATGATGTTGAGACTGGAAACATGAAGATCACTGGCTGCTCTTCCACAGGAACCAGGTTCAATTCCCAGCACCCACAGGTGGCTCAGAATCATCTGTAACTCCAGTTTTAACGGATCCAACACACTTTTCTGGCCTCCACGGGCACCAAACACATACTTGATACATAGATACATACACAAGCAAAACATTAAATTGTAATATAGTATTTTTAAAAGACAGGAAATGGTTCAACATTGACCCTAAGTTGAACATTTTTCACCTTCTCTGAAGAGATGCCTTCCAATTCACAATGTCTTACAATTAACTCGCATTTTTCTTTCTCAGTAGTAAACAAAATTTCTCAGTAGCACACAAAATAATGTGTCTTTACAAACAGTGATGAGTTCATTTAAAAGAATTCCAGTAATGAAAAAAACCTCATACTAAAAAGGGTTATTTTAAAAAAATTAAAAAGAAAAACTCATGAAGCTGGAGAGATAGCTCCACAGTAAAGGGTGTTCACTGTCCTTGCAGAGGACAAGAGTTCTGCTTCCAGCACCCATATCAGGCAGTTCACAATTGCCTGTAACTCCAGCTGCAGGGGCTCAGACTCCCTCTGCTGGCCTCTGCTGGTACTGCACTCACAATAGCACATAGACAAAGAGACACATAATTAAAAAAATAAATCTTTAAAATAAATAAATTAAAAAATAATAAACTCATCTCAATGGATGTTTGAAAGGCATTTCATAATGTTCAGTACCCATGCCTGGTTTCTAGCCAGGACAGTTCCTTAGTGTGACACAGGGCTTACGTTTCCATACAGTGGCTACCATGGCATTTAAATGTGGAGCATCATGGGCATCCCGGTTAAAACCAAGAACAAGAACAGCACACATACTACCAACACAATGGTTGTCTGCTGTGGAGCTTTGGACCACTCCATAAAGCCCTAAAAGGGGGAAAGGGAAAGAAAGAAAGAAAATATCAGCACTGGACAGGAAGGAGGCTAGCATCATTAACTGCAGGAAAATAAGATCCTAGGATTAGGATTCTACCAGCAGAGAAGTCATTTAAGTTTAAAACTACATGACAGAATAGCCAGATCTTAGATAAATATATGGAAATAAGCAACATGTCTGTGTTTTTAAAAAGGAAATTTCAGAATAAGGAGATAAAATTTTCAAAATATCACAAAGTTTAGCCTTAGCTTTGTGCCACTGGTGTCTAGTTCTCGACCCAACCCGTCTTGTAAATTTCCAACTGTCTATCTCATTGTGTAAACAGATTCATTTATAAATATAACAGCTACCTTGAGCTATTTTGCATGTTTGTGCTTTGTCAGAATGCATGTTGGCATGTACAGGGACACACATGTGTATGTACACATGTGTGTGCACCCGTGTGCATTCACAGGCATGTAGGGGTCTGAGGTTAACATAAGCAATCTCCTTTGGTTGATCTCCACCTTATACACTGAGGCAGGGTCTCTCAACTGAACCCAGAGCTTGTGGCCTAGACTACTGTAGTCAGCCTGCTTGCAGCAGGAGCCCCCAGTCTCCACCTCCACATTCAGAGTACTAGAGTTAAATGCAGGCTACCAAATCTACCCAGCATTTGCATGGGTTCTGGGAATCCAAACTTCATTCTTCACACTTGCCCAGTACTTTCCACACTGAGCCACCACTCACAACCTGGCATCTTAAGCTGTACATGACATCCCACACACATTCTAGAAACTGCCCCTCACTGAAAAAGTGTAATATAATTCCCTCTACATCACTCCTTCAGACCCTCCAGCTCTAAAACATGGCATCATCCTTGAGTGTTAAGCCATCTCTCCAGTCCAAGATTTATATGAATTTGCATGTATGTGTGTCTGTGGTGCTAGCAGGTTATGTGCACACCAATGCAGTACCCACAGAGGCCAGAAGAGAGCACTGGATCCCCTGGAGCTGGAGTTACAGCTGGTTGTGAGCTGCTTGACGTGGGTGCTGGGAACAGAACTCGGGTCCTCTGGAAGGGCAGAAAGCACTCTTAAGCACTAAGCCGTCTCTCCAGCTTCAGATACTTGCTATTGATCTTAATATTCATACTCAGGAGGCAGGGACTGGCTGAGGAAAGTGGATCGCTATGAAGTCCTGATTCATGATGTTTTTTGCTTCTTCATTTTTCCTAAGTGAACAGCCTCCACCACACACTCCCAGCCCAATATCTGGGCTGATGGACTAGAATTGTCTAAAACCATAAGCAGAAGAAAATCTTGCCTCTCATATCTTGTCAGGTGCTGTGGTAACAGTAGGATGAAAGCTAACTAATACATTGTTCCTTCTAAAGAACAAGTAAATTTGAAAAAGAATAAAGATGAATATGTATTAACCAATATGTATGTGTGTGCATGTTTTCTGTATTGCCCTATTTCAGTAAACTTTCTTTTTTCTTTTGAGATGGAGTCTCATACATCCCAGATGGGCTTCAATTCACTACATAGTCAAGAATGAACTTTGAACTTCCTATTTCCTGTCTTTATTTCCTAAGTGCTAGGATTACAGATAAATGTTGGACTGAAGATCAAGCCCAAGTTTCCTGTGGAAGAGGGAGGATGACTAGATGCAGGGGATGAGCTAATGGGTGGGTGGTGGATGGATGGATGGATAGACGGGTGGATGGATGGATGGATGGATGGATGGATGGATGGATAGATGGGTGGGTGGATGAATGGATGGATGGATGGATAGATGGGTGGGTGGGCGGATGGATAGATGATGGATGGATGGATAGACAGGTGGGTGGATGGATGGATGGATGGATGGACAGGTGGATAGATGGGTAGACAGGTGGGTGGGTGGATGGATGGATGGATGGACAGGTGGATAGATGGGTAGACAGGTGGGTGGGTGGATGGGGCGGAAAGACTGACTACAAGTGCAGTGCTGTGGACGGTTTGTGTACATAGAGATACATACATGTCACATGGGGACAGAAATGTGCCATGTCTCTCATGAGAGAGCGCTTGGAATGTCTATGTAGTGAAGCCATTCCAGGCTGAGGCAGGAAAGGTGATAACTCACTGAGGTCTCCAGGGCAACGTTTGTGCTGAAAGAAATAATTCCTCCACATACCTGGGAGTCATCAGAGTCATCATCTTCTTCTACCGAGCTCCATTCCTGAGAAAGCCCAGTCTCTTGGGAAGACAGATCTGTGAAGACAACGAATCAGAGGAGAGAGGAGCTGCTGGTGAGCAACAGGACACTACAGCAAGGCTCCCTCGCTTTCTCCATGGCCTCATCTATTTATTCCTATCCATTGTCTACTAATGACCTGACGCATATAAACACACATAGATTTACACATACATACACAATACATATACACACACATAAACATATGCACACATACACATAAAACACATAAACACACATACATATGTATAAGCACACATATACAAACACAAACAAACACACATATACAAACACATACAAACACATATACATATAATACATAAAAACACACACATGTATATGTATAAATATATACAAACATAAACACACATATACATATATATACATATATGCATACAAACATACATACACATACACACTTATATATGCATAAATACACATAAGCAAACACACATGAGCATGCATAAACACAGATACACGTGTATATACACACAGATATACAGGCATACACACACAGTTCATGTGGGCTCTTAACATGTCAGGCCTGAATTCAGATCCTACAGCTGGCTACATGACTTAAACTGGGCTGTCTGAAGGGCTCCTCCATTCACCTGTCCAGAAGGTAGAAGTTCCCTGAGAGGCTTCCAGACAAGATCTGAGTGAGGAGCCCAGAGAAAGAATTGCCCCAGGAGTCTCTCTCCCTTCCATGAGAGACTTCCAGGAAAATTTCCCATATAGTTGTAACCTATGCCTCCTCCTCAGTCCTAAACGGAATGAAGCTGGCAGAGACTGTTTTGTTTTACATATCTCAGACTGGCCTGGAAATCTCCCTCTAACCCAGGTTAGTCTCAGACTCATGAGCAGTTCTCCCACCTCAGCCTCCCAAGTGCTGGGTTACAAGAGTCAGCTATCACGCCCAGCTTAAAGTATACCCTTTTTTCCTCTTACTATTTTGAGAGGTGAGTGGAGGCACACGCTGTAGCACACGTGTAGAGGTCAGAGGACAATTGGGGGTCAGTTCTCCTCATTGACCCATCCTGCTGGCCCAGGGGTCTCTATTAACTAACCTCAGGTCTTTCACTCTTGACTTCCCATACCTACCATTTATTCTGGAAAATAGCTTTTTAAAAAAGAGAAAGAAAGAAAGAAAGAAAGAGAGAGAGAGAGAGAGAGAGAGAGAGAGAGAGAGAAAGAAAGAAAGAAAGAAAGAGGAAGAGAAAAAGAAAAACCCTCAGCACCCTTGACATTTGAGCTGTATAATTATTAGAGAGTAGGGTCTGAATTGTTCATTGCGGGTTTAACACATTCTGACTTCTGCCCATGCAGATTCTTGTTAGTGACCTTAATCTTGGCTTCCCTCTCTGAGGTGTGTGTGTGTGTGTGTGTGTGTGTGTGTGTGTGTGTGTGTGTGATGTCTCCCCATAAAAAGTTTCACCCAACAACCCCTCCCTCACTGATCCTGGCCTTGACTATGCCATATTTTGACCAGTCACATAGGATCATCAAGTTGCTAGCACATGCTTTAAAAGTGCCGATGAGGGCTGGAGAGATGCTCGGTGGTTAAAAGGACATGCTGTGCTTGCTCTTGAGGATGTGTATTCAGCTCCCAGAAACTACATCAGACATCTCACAATTACCTGTAACTCTAAAGTAGCCTATGCCTTCTTCTGGCCTCTGTGGGTACCTGCTCTCTCTCTCTCTCTCTCTCTCTCTCTCTCTCTCTCTCTCTCTCTCTCACACACACACACACACACACACACACACACACATTTGCTCATTTTTAAAAACTTTCAGTGCTTAGGCATCACAGCATTCCCTGTTCCTCACTACCTTCCAAGGACCCAAGAGAATAAACCTCCTGGAGACACAAGGTTCACAGGAAGTACAAAAACAGATAGCAGGAGAAATGTCCCCTGATCCACAGAAATACGACCCCACACATGCTTGTTGCATTAAGTGGCTAAACGTTGGTGTGAGCTGCTGCACAGCACAAGCTGACCAATGCGGCGTTCCCCGAGTTGCGTACATGGACTCAGCGAGCAACAGAATGGATGCTCAGCCTCCCCCTGCATTCTCTCAAGAGCATCTCCCTTGCCCATCCCCCACAGGACCCCTCACCTTTCTCTTCGCTGTCGCAGCTGGAGGCTCCGACCTCCACAGCCTCCCAGTCCTTGGGGAAGGTGGGGTGACAGGGCTTCTCCCAGGCCCGGCTGTCCCGGGGCAGCAGTCCCTGTGTCTGCTCAGTCCTGAGGCTCTGCATCTCCTCAGGAGGAGGTGGGGCTTCCAAGGCAGGCTTACACTTCTCCGTTCCAGTGTCCTGTGCGGTTCCCCAGGCACAGGATCCAAAACCTAAAGACTGACAGACACATTGCCAGCTAGTGAACGGTGCTAGGCATGGTGCTGATTGCTAGGAAAACAGCAGGGTGCTGGAGAGATGGTTCAGAGGTTAAAAACTAAGAATTTATATTGATTCATGACCTACCATGAAAGGAGGCACTACCGTAGGAGCCTGGGGCAGCTGGTGGCATTGCCTACACTGTCAGGAACCAGTGCTCAACTCCCTTTCTCCTTTTGTGCTTTGTTTTGTTTTGTTTTGTCTTGTTTGTTTCTCTTTTGAAACAGGGTTTCTCTGTGTAGCCCTGGATGTCCTGGAGCTCACTCTGTAGACCAGTAGCCTCAAACTCAAAGAGATCCGCCTACTTCTGCCTCCCCAGTGCTAGAATCAAAGGCATGTGTCACCACAGCCAGCCCCCTTTCTCCTTTTTATTCAGTCCAGTACCCCACCCCATGGACTGCAGATGCCTACATTCAGGGTCGGTTTCTCCTAATCAGTTCAGCCTGTCTGGAAACACCCTTAAAGACCAGACCACAGGGTTCCCATGGTGATTCTAAATTGCCATCAAAGATGGTAATTTAAACGACAAGATTAACTATCATAGATTCCAAGCAGCGTGCTGTGAAGCAAAAATATTTATTGTAGAAAATTTATGTGGGCTGGGAACTTAATGATACTAAATAATTGTTGCTTACTTCATTGATTGCTGGGATGGCATAAGGAAATGTAAGACACTATCTGTCTGTCTGCCTTTCCCTCTGTTTATGACAAGGTCTTGTTAGATAGCCCAGGCTAGCCTAAACTTACTGTGCAGCCCAGTCTTGACTCCAACTCACGATACTCCCATCTCAGACCACAAAGTGCTAAGATTACAAATGTGCGCCACCACGCCAGGTGTACCCATCTTTGTGTTAGAAGTGTTCTTGAAGTAGCTGTATGGAATAATGTGGAGTGGCTGGCTGTGTCTCGCCGCTGGCTAGCTTATATCCCAAAATAACAACACACAAATTGTATTCATTTAAACACTGCCTGGCCTCATTAGTTCTAGCCTCTTATTGACTAACTCTCACATTTTGATTCAACCCATTTCTAATAATCTGTATGTCACCATGAGCTCATGGCTTCCCGGGAAAGATTCAGCATGTCTGACCTGGCAGCTTCATGGTGGGTGGCTCTCTGCCTCTGCCTTCTTTCTCCCAGCATTCTGTTCTGTCTACTCTGCCTATCTAAGCTGCTGCCCTATCAAAAGGCCAAAGCAGTCTCTTTATTCAACCAAAGAAAGCAACACATAGAAAGAAGACCCTCCTACACAAGCTGGAGGAAAACTGAGGTGATAGCTGGATTATTCTTTAAAACACTTTTGAGAAGACAGACATTATATGATAGCACTTATATGTTGAGATCATTTGTATATTGGGATTGGCAAGTGTATCAGCTTGACACAACACAGAACCACCTGGGAATAGAGTCTTAATGAGGGATGATCTACTCTGGATTGGCCTGTGTGCCTGTAGGGAAACATCTTAATTAATTGATGTGGGAAGACCTAGCCCAATGTGGCTGACACCATTTCCTAGGAAGGGTGCGAAACTGGGTAAAAGTGGAAAAATCAAGCCAAGCATAAGCAAGCAAGCGAGCAAGCATGCAATGCATTCATTCTTCTCTGCTCTTGACTATAAGTTTGATGAGACCAACTGTCTCAAACTGTACCTGCGATTTCTCTGTAATATGGAACTGTGAACTACAGTAAATGCTTCCTCCAATAAGTTGCTTGGTGTCAAGGTTTTTTGTTACAGTAACAGAAATGAAACTAGAACATACATGTGGGCTAGAACATACATGAAGCTAAAAAACAGACCTCATAGAAGGTATTATTATATTAGTATCAGGTAGCTGGAGCCTGGGGAGAGTACAAAGGGGAAGACAAGCCAAGAGAATGGAAAACAGGCTTAAGAGTTCAGCTTTTGGGGGCTGGAGAGATGGTTCATCAGTTAAGAGCACTGACTGCTCTTCCAGAGGATCAGGGTTCAATTTCCAGCACCACATGGCAACTGTCTGTAACTCCAACACCCTCACACAGACATGCATGCAGGCAAAATGCCAATGCACATAAAATAAAAATAAGTAAATTATTTTTTTAAAAAAAGAGTTCAGTTTTTCATTAAGAGAAACAATGTAGGGTAACTGTAGTTGACAACAATTATTCAATGTTTCAGAACAACTAATAAAATTTTGAACATTTCTGTATAAAGAAATACCTAGTATCTGAGGTGATGTATGACCAATAGCCCTGATCTGGCCGCTATACACACATTGTAGTGTATCATTTAACCCCTGAAATGTGTGCAACAATCATGTGTATATTAAAGAAATATTTCTGAAACAAAGAGGGGGGGAAAGGGCCACTGAGATGGCTTGGTGGGTAGAGATGACTGCCCATCAAGTCTGGCAACCTGAGTATGATTCCCAGAATTACATGATAGGAGAAACGTGACTCCTACAAGCTGTCATTTAGCCTCCAGCTGTGTTTGCTCCCTAGCACACATGCATGATACACACACACACAAATAAAACATAATGCAACTCTCAAAATGTGCAGTTAAGGAAAAGAAGTTGATAAAATGGCACACACAGAAAGATAAAGTCGACTAACCGTGGGCATAATATTTTCAATATTTTCATATGTATGATACACAGGCCGGGAAGATGGCTCAGCCAGGAAAGTGTTTGTTGTACACTCACACCTGTACACTGAAACCTCACACCTGGGAATGAGGCTTTCTGGGGCTTGCTTGTTAAACAGTCTACTCCTAATCAGCAAGACTCAGGCTACTAAGAGACCCACCCTCCAAAACCAAGGAGGATGGCACCTGAGGAATGACACCCAAAGTTGTCCTCTGACCTTCATACACACACAAGTGCATGTTCATCTCCATGCATATGCACACATACAAATGTGGCATACAACTTATATTAAATGATCTATATTTATATTAAATAAATGATGTAATAATACATATTTATATTAAATTTTCTAGAGGCTACATAGATCATATCTTTTCAATCTGTATCACAAATCATCACTTAAAATTTTCATGAGTTTTTTTGCATTTTTAAATTATATGAATGCATGAGTGTGTCTGTATGTGGGTATGTGTACCTGAGTGCAGTGCCCCTGAAGGCCAGAAGAGGGCATCAGATTCCCCTGGAGTTGGAGTTACCAGAGGTTGTGACTTGCCCAGCATGAGTTCTGGAAATCAAACTTGGGTCCCCTGCAGGAGCTGTGTGATTCCCTAACTGCTGAGCCATCTTTCCAGCCCTCCATCCATCATTTCTCTCTTGGAGAAGTATGTCTTAAAGGTCTCTGAACCCACAGTTAAATGCATCATTTTCAAATGCAACTCATCTCTCTATATGCCCAGCATATTCTCCTTCTAGATCCTCCACTCTTGTCCAGGACTCCTCCATCCATCCCAGAATCTCAACAATGCTGTCTTTACCTTGTCTTTGTCTAACACCACATCCAACCAATCAGCAAGCCCTCCTGCTCTTTTCTTAGAAAACACCTTGCTCTCTGTCTGCTGTCCCAGCCTTCAGCCTTGCCTGAGATTTTGTCCCCAGGATGCAGAAGCTTTTGTCACAATCTCCCTATTTCCTGGGATACACTCAGCTCTTGATGATGTTGACCCCTCTCCCTACTCCCCAGCCATTCGCTGGCTCTGTGCTGTCAACATGGTTCCATGAATAAAGAAGTCTGCTGCCAAGCTGATGCCCTGAGTTTGATTCCTGAAACCCGTGTGGTGGAAGGAGAAAGCCAACTCCCATATACTGTCTTCTAACCTCCATACGTGTTCCATGCCCCGACATACACACAAAAGTATATGACTAAGCCAGGTGGTGGTGTCCCACACTTAATCCCAGCACTCGGGAGGCAGAGGCAGGCGGATCTCTGTGAATTCAAGGCCAGTCTAGTCTATAGAGTGAGATCCAGGACAGGTTCCAAAGCTACACAGAAAAACCCTGTCTCAAAAATTAAAACAAACAAAACAAAAAAGTATATAACTAAGTGTAAAATACTTACTGGCTTTGTCATTCTCTGTTTGGACTGATTTCAATAATCTAGATTTTTAGTTGTGGATAAAGGATTCTAGTTATGGAGGTTAGTTAGTCTAACATCCAAAGAGGCACAGGTAAAGATTTTAGACCCAGCCAGGAATTTCTGGAAGAAAACACACACACACACACACACACACACACACACACACACTTGCTTTCAACATAAATCAAAGAGAATGCCTCAGCTTGGTGTCAATGTATCTGTTCTTTATTTCATTGGCTGGCTTTTAAAATTTTGGTGGGGGGGTGGGGGGTGCGTGCATGTGCACATATGCACAGAATTCAGAGAACAGCTTTTGGGAGTCAGTTCTTTCCTTTCACCAGAGGATCCAGGAATGGCTTCTGTGGCATGAGCTTTTACTCCCCAAGCCATCTCACCAGCCCTTGCTTTGTTTTAGACACTGCCAAGTAGCTCAGGGTAGCCTTGAGCTCACTATATATCCCAGGCTGGCCCCAAACTCCTGATCCTCTTGTAACTGCCTCCTGGACACTGAGGATGCAGGCACAAGATGCCACACTCAGCAGCTGTGTCATTAGCCTCTCTCCTGTTGGGGTGCCCCTTAGTTAGGAAGTGGGGGGCTGCTTCAGGAGCCAATGGGACAGCGCTAGTCAGAACACGATCCACTACTTGCTTATTTTCACTGTGCCTGTTTCTACAGCTATTCTCAATAACTGTAAAAACTAAAAAATGAAAAGAGACGCTGGCACTCCCTCTCCCACCATGATATAAACCATCCCTGGGAAATTCTTAGAGGCAGATTTTACAAGCAAGCTGATTCAACAGGTGCTGGTGGGAGTGTTTGTTAGTCCAACAACCACTGAGTAAAACCCCACTACACCATCTGCTAAGGCTAAATATATGCATACTCACAAGTGGTGCTCCAGTCCTCGGCACCCACACAAGACAGTGGGAAACGATCCCGTCCCACGTGCTTGTGGAAGCCACTACTCCTCTGTCTATATTTACAAAACAAAGATATTCAGGGGCCTAGTACATAGCTCAGTGGGTAGATCATGCTGCACAAACATGAGGACTTGAGTTCAAATCCCAAGAACACACATTTTAAATAAAAAAGGAAG